TTGGTTTATCATATAGACATCAGCCAATGTAACACACCATATTGACAGAATAAAGTGTAAATTCTACATGAGCATCTCAGTGGATGTAGAAAAAGCATTTGACAAAATCCAACCTGCATTCATGGCCAAAACACATAAAAAATGAGGAGTAGAAGAGAACTTGTTCATCTTGATAAAGGGCATCCATGGAAAACCTACGATTAACATCATACTTAAATGGAGAAATAATTGAAATTGATACTTTCTTCCTAAGATAAGAAACAAGACAAAAATACTGCTTTCATCTCTTCTAGTCAACGTTATACTGAAAGGTCAACTCAGGATAATTTGTCAAGAAAAAGAGATAAAGGGTATCCAGGATGAGAAGGTAAAAGCAAAACTTCCTCTATTTGCAGATGACATGAATTTGTATGTAGAAAATCCTAAGGAATCCACTAAAAACTATTTGAACTAGTAAACAAGTTCAGTAATGTAGCAGCAGGATAGATCAATAAACCAAAGTTAATTGTATTTCTATACATTAGCAATGAACTAGACATCCAAATGCAGAAGAATGAATTCTCTACACACACACACACAAAACTCAAAACAGATCATCAACCTAAAAACAAGTTTAAAAAAAATAATTTCTAGGAGATAGGAATAAATCTTTGTGACCTTGGTTTAGGAAATAGTTTCTTGGATATAACAGACAGTTCAAGCGACAAAAGAAAAAAATAGCTATATTGGACTTCACCCAAAATAGAAACTTTTGCACATCAAAGGACACCATCAAGAAAGTAAGAGGATAGCCCACAGAATGGGAGAAAATATTTGCAATTCGTATATCTAACAATATTCAGACTATTTAAACAAAAGTTAAAACTCAACCATAAGACAAATAATTCCATTTTAAAAGGGCTATGAATCTGATTAGCTCTTTCTCCAAAGAACATGTCCAATGTTCAATAAACATGAATAAACACATGAAATAATGATTAGCACCACTAGTTATTAGGGAAATGCAAATCAAAACCACAATAACATAACACTTCAGACTAAGATGACTACAATAAAAAAAAAAAAGACAGACAATAAAATGCTGTGAGGATATAGAAAAATAAAAACCCTCATTCATTGCTGATGGGTGCAGTCACTTTGGCAAACAGTTGGCAGTTCTTCAAAAAGTTAAACAGAGGTCACTAAATGACTGGGCAATTCAACTCCTTGTTACCTACCCAAGGGAAAAGAAAACATATATGCACACAAAAAATTGTGTACAAATATTCAGAGCAACATTATTCATAAGAGCCAAATAGAGAAACAATTGAAATGTCCATCAACAGATGAATAAACAAAAGGTAGCATAGCCACACAATGGAGCATTATTTGGCAATTAAAAGGAATGATACAAGAAACAACAGGAATAAACCTCACAACCATTATGCAAGTGAAAGCTAGTCATAAAGATCAAGGCATTGTATGATCATATTTATATGAAATGCATAGACTAATCAACAGAGAAAGAAAGTTAGATTAGTGGTTGTCTAGGGCTGAGAGGAGGGGATTATGAGAGTGTTAATGAGTATAACACTTCTTTTGGAAGTGGTGGTAAAGATATAATAAAATTAATTGTGGTGATGATTGCACAATTCTGAATTTACTAGAAACAGTGAATACTACCCTTCAAAGGAATGAATTTTATGATATGTGAACTATGTCTCAACAAACCTGTAACAAAAAGATGGAAGCAATAACAGAACGTTTGTATGCTAATGACAGTGATACAGTTTTAAAAATGACCTTGTAGAGAGGTGGACAATGCTGGAGCAATGTCCTCACATAGGCTGGAATGGGATATAGAGCTAAAGTGGAGGTACTGAATCTTGATGACAGTGAGAACAGCCCAGAAGGCAGAATAAGTGAATATTGATGCCGTGTGGTGACTGGATGCGGTAGTAAGAATCTGTTGAGGTTTTTTTGGTACTTTTCTCCCCTAGCCAAGTAGTCAGCCTGAGTATAGGGTAGGACTAAGTAAGTGCTGGGAGACTTGAGGAAAGAGAAGGTATGAAATAGTTATCTAAAACAGGACAACTAAATGCAGGAATCCTGGATTAGATTAGATTCTGGAAGAGAAAAATTGTATTAGTGGAAAAACTGAAAAAATTCAAATAAGTTCTGTACTTTTCTTAATAGCATTGTACTAATGTTAATTTCCTGATTTTGATAATTGAAATGTAGTTATATACTGATGGTTCACATATATGGAGTGGTATCTGGAAATGATTACTAGAGGTTGTCATTTGGTAAAAGTAAGATACGATTTCTGTTGTTAATGTTACTGGGTTTTGCTTCTTTGTATTTCCTTTTATTGTGCAATGGTCATTACAATGCTTTTTTTTTTAGAATACAAGAATATACTATATTAAATATTTAATAAATATATTAAAAGAAAAAAAGAAATGTAGTCGTATAATTTCTTATTATTTGGGGAGTCTGAGTAGAAGACATATGTAAATTCTTTGTAGTGTTTCTACAACTTTTCAAAAATTACATAATTTTAATTCTTAAAAAAAAGGTTATTTAAGAAAGAGGGAGAGAAAAAGTCTGGGAATAGCAATTAAGAGGACACCTGGGGCCCTCCCTGGTGGCGCAGCGGGTTAAAGCGCAGCACTATGAAGCAGTTGCAGCCACTGCAGCACGAGCTTGATCCTCAGCCCTGGAGGTGACCCACATGGCGCGGCAGACCTCTCCTGGCCCACCCGCTGCTCCCCTCAGCAGTGTACTTCGTCAATCTGCCTGTTCTCTTCCCACTCTGTCTCTGATGAATCCTCTCACCCCTGCACTCTGTCCTGTACCCCAGTTCTGTCTGCATAAATAAATAAATCTTTAGAAAAGTGAGGACACCTACCTCCATCTCCTGGCCTCTTGGTAGGAGAGTTTTGAGGAGGCTGCTGGAGAAGAAGAGTGCTCATGGGAAAGCCAGATTTCTATTAAAGCAGTGATTCTCATGGGGGAGGCGGTGTATGGTCAAGGATACTTGGGGCATTTTTGAGTATATCAACAATGGGAAATCACTACTGTCGTTTGGTGGGCACAGACTAGGGATGGCAAGCATCCTGCAGTGCATACAGCTGCTCCACACAGCATGTCTCATGCCACACAACTTTAAATATTCCATCAGACAACCATATAGGTGAAAAGCTTTTTCATTTGTTCATTTATTCATTCAACAAACATGCTTTGAGAGAGCCTACTATGTGTCAAGCGCTGATTTTAGGTAATAAGGACACATCAGGGTACAAACAAGAACTTACAATCAAGTAGAGAGTCAGACAATAAGCAACAAACATAATAAAGAAACAAATTATACATGAGGTAAGAGGGTGAGGAGCACTACAGAAAAAATAAAATAGGGTAAGTGCTAGGGGAGAGCTGTAATTTTAAATAGGATGGTCAGGGTAGGCCTCATTGAGAAAGTGACATCTGAGGAAGTAACATCACGAACCTTGTGGCTAACTGGGGGAAAGCATTCTAGGTACAGGGAATGGTCCAGTACAACCACTAAGTTGGAAGTGAGCCTATGCTCAAGTAACAAAGAGGCCAGGATGATGAAACAGAGTGAGCAAGTGTGAGAGTGGTAGGAGACAGCATCAGAGTGTGATGGGGACCAGATGGATTTTAGTATATATTGATTTTCCCAGAAATTCAGCCATCATACACATTGAGAAAAGACTGTTTTGTTTAGAAATTTACAAAATAACTGTTCATCACTTAAGAAAATCTCATCAATTACTTTATGGTTTTTGAGCCACCAATCAAAATGTGTAGCTATCACATTCCTGGTTATAAGTATTATATGTGCAAGACCATTACATTATAACTGCTAGTATTGTTTTATTATCAGTTACTTTTCCCTTGTTATAATTAGGACATTACATTGGTTTTGGGGGTAGGGGATTAGGTATGTAGACAGATTCTACTATCTATGTACTTCATTTTAGAATAGCAAATGGGAGCATTTCAAAACACATAATTATAAAAATGGAAGGTTGTGTCCAATGGGTATGGGAATCACTAAGATATGGCAAGAAGATGAAGCCAGAGTGAGAATAGATGGAATTTTGCTGATGACTGAAGGTAAGTTCTAAAATGCCTGGTCAAAGAATTTCAGGATGGGGGCAGGACAGGATGCCCAGGACTGTATGGGGCTCTAACTAGGAGAATCCCTGGTTTTGTTATAGTGAACAGCATGATACAGGATAAAGGGCCTGATGCATTTTTTCATCTTTGTTGTTCCACAACCTGGGAGGGTGTCTACCTGTTTAACACAGTAAGCAGGGGAACAAAAAAGGTTCTCTCCTCAACAAGACCAGAAGCGGACCACAGCAGCTTCATTTTTTATCCACAGAACTGTCTGGAACTCCCAGGCCATGTTATTGCTATAAACAGTACATTTCTTACCAGTTTAGGAATGAAAAATAGGTAGAAAGAGAAACAACAGAAGAGAAAGACAGATCCATTTAGAAAGAAAAGCCAGTGAAGGAGGGTCGGAGATAGGTGTGGGGTGGGGGAGAGCCAAAGAACAAGAGAGATAACATTCTTTCCAATAACATCAATCACTATTGAAAATTTCTAGAGGCTGGGTGCTAGGTAAAATGATGTCTCAGATGGAGATTCGTAGATCCCCATTAGGCAGATGAAGAAACTGAGGTCCAAATGGGTGGATGAGATGGTTCAGGGTCTTATGGCTAGTGTTAACTGTCAGGATCAGGATGCAGCCTTTTGGATCTCTGGGCTCTCTACTATATCTCAGCGGGGGAGACAGAAAGATGAAGACAGAGACTGAGTGGAAAAGTGGGGGCAGAGAGATGGAGATTTACAGACCTGCATGCAGACAATCACGTGAGCTGCAGACCTGCAAGGACCGTTTCCAGAGAGAAGGGGGTGGGGGGGAGGGGTGTGTGTGTGTATGGGGGGTTGGGGGCGGACAAGGCTGGTGGGCTCAGCAGGGTACTCACCTGGATGCCGACTGGAGCCTCTGGAGAACTTGCTCACCCTTTGCTACCTGCACAATCCTCCGCAACCCGCTGACCTAGGGTTGAAAGGCGGCCCAGGTAAAAGCCGGCTCGGGTCCCACCCCTCATACGCTCCAGCCGGGTCTCTTTCCTCCCGCGCCCCCCACTCCCGTCTTTAAAACGTCTCACCTGACACCTCTGGAAGTGGGCGCCGCCGCTGTCGCCAGCGAGCGGAATGGAGGGGTCGGCAGCTGGATCTTGCTAATACGCTTGGATGCGTCTCTCCCGCGGGCTGGAGCGGGAGCCGGGTCGCAGGCCTCCACCGCGGGATCCAGGCCGGAGAAAACTCCGCCCCTTTGATTGGTTTACGAGTCAAACCCACCCTTTAATAGGATTGGCCGGGCAAAGAAGACTGTTGTAGCCCTTGGCAGGTCTATTCCACCCGGCTTCGGAGGTGAAGCTGGCAACACGCAGGCGCGAAGCCCAACTGAGGTCGGGTGCGAGTCACTGTAGAATCCTGCACCCGTGGCTTCTTGACATCTTACTCCTTAAGCCACCTTGACTAAGCCTAAAACACACATTTCCCATAGCTCTACTCCTCCCTCCACCTGCAGGGATTTCTGACTCTCATTTCTCTTGTTCAAATCGAGCGAGTTTCTAATTGCATCCAAAAAGGATGAGCTAGTTAGTGACTGGGGTCCGCCAGTAATACGCCAGCCCCAACACTAAGACATCTGTCAAGTGGTCTAGCGGTTAGGATTGGGTGTTCTTATTGGTCAAATGTCAACCTCACTAGAAGCCTCTGATTAACCATCTCTAAGACAGACAATTTGAAAAGCTCTTCTGACAGTATCAGTGGGAGGATTAAATAAGTGAACCTAAATTCATTGCTTGGGATATAGTTAAAATTCTCTCCTCCCAGTTTCTTGCCTTTCCCATTGTTCAGACTGAAAGGCCTGTTGACTTGAAGTCACACCACAATACGACACAGAATAAAACCCAGGTTTCTGTCCTCTAAAGAAAAGCTGTTTAAGTAGGAAAGAGGGACAGGAGAACTTTCTTGTTACCAGGGAGGGTTCTAAATCTGAGCCCACAGATCTCCAATCCAATGCAGGCACAAGGTTTGGAGGGGTCATGGATTTGGATGGGGGAAAAGTTACACCTTTATTTTAACTCTCCTCTAATAGAAATTTAGCATTGTTTTTTTCTTAAAGATTTATTTATTTATTCATACAGAACTGGGGTACAGGCCAGAGATGCGGAGGGTGAGAGGATTCACCAGAGACAGAGTGGGGAGCAGAACAGGCAGATCTACGAAGTACACTGCTGAGGGGAACAGCGGGCGGGTCAGGAGAGGTCTGCCGCGCCATGTGGTCACCTCCAGGGCAAGCGGGGATCGAACTCATGCGGAAGTGGCTTAAGCTTCTTAGTGCAGTGTTTTAACCCGCTGCGCCACCAGGGAGGGCCAGAAATTTAGCATTGTTTTTAACAGCACGTCTTAATTTATGTTAATCATGAGGACATGGGATATTCATACATTTAATGTATTTCTCCCATTTTGGTCAAATGTGCTCTGCTTCTTTGGGGAACAAATTAAGAAAATATTATCATCTCTTCCTACTTTTCAACTGCCATGCTTTGAACTATGTATTATTATATCCACAAGATCTTAGGCTTTGAGCAGCATAAAGATGAGGTATGAAGGTTATGCACACATACTTTTTCTTTCCCTATATAGACTCCCTGCAGAATAATGATGTAAGAAAGCATTGATATATTGATTATGAAACCTATATTGATTATGAAATTTAGCATTATTTTAACAAAAAATGCAACTAACTATAGAAGCCATAGTACCTGTCATTGTTACAAATTTTTTTTCATATCACTTTGTAGAATCTATTGTAGATCTTGAAATATGTTGTAATCTTAAAATTGTGGTAGTCATTAGACTGTCCATTGGATCTCATTAATAAATTAATGAGAGCACACATATTACTATAGTACATCTTTTCCATATTTTAATAACTATATTTCAATATAAGCAGTTCCCTTTGTAACTCTAGGAATTATATTTTATTCACTTTTTAAAAGATTTATTTATGCACACAGAACTGGGGTACAGGCTAGAGGTGTGTGTGGAGAGGTGAGAGGATTCACCAGAGACAGCCAGGAGCTGAACAGGCAGATTGATGAAGTACACTGCTGAGGGGAGTGGGAATGGAATTTGTGCTGCAGTGGCTGTGATAACTTCATTGTGCTGTGCTTTAACCCACTGTACCACCAGGGAGGGCCCCTTTTATTTTATGCATTTAGAGTTTTTTTTTTTTTTCTGAGAAAAGGTCCATGGCAGAAAACATGTTAGGAACTTTTCCTTGTCTTAAACTCTAGGCTACAGGAGAACAAAGACTTGGTCTATCTTATTTTCTTGTTGTAACACTGTTACCCACTTTAGCATCAGGCACACAGCACATGCTCAAAAAATGTTTACTGAATGAATAGGATTCTTTCCCAGCCATTCTTCATATCTCCAACTGAAGGAGCTGGTGCTGGCTTTTTTTTTTTTTTTTTTTTTGTTACCTAGGAAGGAGGGATATTTTCCTGAATCTAGTTATATCACTGCCAATATGCTTGTAGTCTCAGAAGTGGGTGGTAATTTAAAGGTTTGGTCTCAGGAAATCCTGGGAACCTCATTCCCAGGAGAGGGGTGAGCTATGAAGGATACTAAGACAAGTAGCTTCTACATAGGAACATGAACTAGGCACACTGAGCCCATGACTCCTCATCCTCATCCTGTTTTCTTTTTAGGGTCATAGCAAACGGAGTTCATCTCTGGTCTTCAGCAAAGGCTGTATTTGGAGCGGGATATAATCTTAAAGGCCTTCTAGAACAGCCACTCACTTTTAGCAGTCCAGACTGGGTAGGACCTGAAGCCCCACCATACACTGAAGATTGAGAGCAAGGAACAAGATGTCACTAGTCAAAGGACACCTTCTCCTCCCATGCCTTACCTAGCCCATGACATGCACACCCTAGTCAACTATATTAGAAACTCATAAGTGATCCCTAACAGTGTTTCTGAAGCCAAAGGCCTTCTCTGACTGGGTGGGTGAAGAGGAGTCTCAAATGCCAGAACAAGAGGCCTGGAGATCTGATTGAGAGGACAGAGAGGAATCAGGGAAGCACAGGATGAAGGCCAGGTTTCAGAGTTCTGCTTCAAGACTAGACTCCATTATGGGATCTTAGACAGGTTGCTCTCCAAGGTTGCATATCCCAGCATGATTAGCCTAAGTTTGCAGATGGGAATACTTATGCCTTCTAGAGGGGATGAGAGAGTCACATTGTAAGGCAGAGCACATTGAAGCAACATACCCAGGCCATCTGTTTCTCATAATTGCTGGAATCTTGCCAGGTTGACCTCTTCCTGGTCATTTGCCTCTGTTGCTTTCTCCTCCCCTTCACTTCACCATGTGCTCCTTTGGACTGGCATCAGATACTTCAAGGAGATATTTCTTCCCTCTGTACAGATGCCTTGACTTTGGGTCCTACCTTCTCAGCCCTTGGCCTTGAGATAAGATGTTCCCTTTTCTAGGCCAGTCCCCACTACTGTCAGTGTGGCCCAAGATTAGAACAGAGACATCCAAACCTCCATGCTGTTTCCAAAACATCTGTCAAAGTCATAGACTAGATCTAAGACCTGCTAGAGAGGGAAGGAAATTTGCCAAAGGTCCCACAGCAACCTGACAGTCATCCCGGACTATTCTTCTCAATCCTTTTTTTGGTATCTAAAACTGTTGATTCCAATATCTTAAAAACTCTCATAGAATAGAATCGTTCAGCACGTAGAATTATTCCAACTGATTTATATAGTTACATCCCTCTCAAGGAGATGGAGCACAATACCCCACTCTCTGAACATGGGCTGTATTTAGTGGCTTCCTTCCAAACAGTACAGTATGGAAATGGGGGAGGAGTAATTTTACAGCCGAGAAACCTACTTCAGTTAGGTGATTAATATTAACATCAACAGTGATAAGACATATTGATAGCATTTAGCCTTGATGTGATCAGGATGGGCACTTTATGCGTCTTCTTTCTCAAACTCATAGTAATCATGGGTAAACCAGCAAATGTAATCATGAGAAAAACATCAAACAGATCTCAATTGAGGGACATTCTACAAAAAACTTGACCAGTGTTCCTCAGAGGTTAATGACTCCAGGTCATCAAAAACAAGTAAAGTCTGAGAAACTGTCACAATCCGGAGTTTACAGAGACATGAAAACTAAATGTAATGCGGTACCCTGAATGGCATCCTGGAACATTAGGGAAAAACGGAGGAAGTCTGAAGACAGCATGGACTTTAATAACAGTATGTGGATATTGATTCACTGTTATAAAATGTACCATGCTAATAGAAGATGCTAACAATAGGGGAATAAGCTATGGGTTGTATGGGAACTCTATTATCTTGGCAACATTTTGTGAACCTAAAAGTTCTTAAAGTAAACAAAAAAAAAATCACTCATATTTCCCAACCTGCCAACCTGAGGTATACTGTCAACTTTCTCATTGCTCTCCTTCCCATTCCATTCCCTTGGCATCCGGCAGAGGGCAATCTCTAAAATGCAATCTTGACCATAGCTGAAGCTGCCTTGAGCAAAATAAGAGCGTTGGAGAGAAAGTTCAGGAGGTGTATTACAGAAGCCTGACTCGGATGTCTGACTAAATTATGATACAGAAAAACTTGTTAAGTATTTTTGGTGTCCTTTGAAATAGTTACTGTATTCAAATTTTAAAACAATTTGGCCTTTCTAACGTGGCTCAGATAAAGTCAACCTTCCCCAGCTCCCTCCCCCACCATGGGGCTACAAAGCAATTTCCCTTATCTCTGTGCCAACTCCTCAAGCCTAAGCCATCTTTTTTTTTTTCTTGCTTTGTCTCCCAGTTCTAGCTCCAGGGAAGCCCTTCCCTAAAATGAGAGACACTCATTAATTTTTTGACTGTGAGAAAACTGAATTCTTCTGGCACCCCATGCCCAGCTCACACTAAGCCCAAGAAAAGATTTGACGCATAACAAATATAAAGATGAATCACTGAATAAATGGATATGCTAGGGTGCACAGCATTTCTGTGCGCGTGCGCAAGGAAAGGCGTGGGAAGCGGTTTGCTACCAGGCTGAATCCACTGCAGCCTTCCGGAGGGGGAGTTGTCTCTTCAGTCTCGCCCTGCCATTGGCCAGGATGGCCCGCATTGGCCTGACGCAACACCTCCGCGGCCCCCCTTCCCCAGGAGCTGGCTCCCTGCCAGCCAACCCCCACCCCTCCCTTTCC